GCACTTCTGATGACCTGTTAGCCCTTTTGCTCTAGGTCTTAGGCCTTGTATTCAATCCGCTTGTCTATTCTAACAGGGCTTTACACAGAAGAGGATGTATCGTGATCTTGGTAAACACAGAACACCTTTGTTTTCTCACTAATCCTGTTTACACAACTTTAGTGCCTTGGTCTAAATCTCTCTCTCTTTGTCTCACAGTCTCACACTTCCTGTGTCACACTTGGAACTTGTTTGTGCCTGTCAGAAGTTTTATTGGCCTGCTGACATTCTGCACTACTACTTGGAATGAATTCAAAGTGTAATCTTCAGCCTTGATAAGATCTGAAGTCTGCAAATCTGCCGCAGTAACGTTATATAGTTGCACATATTGTAATTCCAGAGGAATGTGTGACATTTATGCTGTAAAATAGCGAATTTCCAACATTTAATAAAGAAACAGGAGATTAATACATAAAAAAGTGAAAACTGAACTTCCTTATTGGTCAGCTTTTCTTGAGAACAATGGTGTTTGAGGTTTCATGCCAAACTGGAAGGTCCTTTCCAGCAGGTAGTGTGTTTATCTGTATGACAACGTCCCAAGAATATTGTGGTTATGAACAGAAGTAGAAACCCTGTTGACTTGTGTGAAACACACTTTGAACAACCCTCCCTCAATGAAACTAGTTTATTAGCAAATGTATTAACCATAGTTGACATATCAGCACACAATCAGAATATTCATATTATGAAATCCGTGAGAAAATCAAATATGATCAAATCTTTTGTAGTTTTGTAGTTATTAACTGTCAAGTAAAGACGAACAACCCTAATCAAAAAGATCAAATAACTATAACATTAGTTGTGTTTTGAGCAGTAAAATAAACGATGCCCCCCTGTCTGAGAACAACACAGTAAATGCTCATTTCAATATGGGCCAACAGGTGGAGCACTTCTCCAACCCGCACGTACATTAATAAATATAATACTGGTACCAGATATGGCATTCATTGCAGTTTTGTTGGAAGTTGTTTTGTTGATACTGATATTCATTAGATTATTTAATGTAGGTATTTCATAAAAAGCTATTTTTTGTACAGCAGACGAATCGATGGTCTGAACATTAATTGTATGCATTATGTTCTCTATGAATCTCAAACTGTTCAAACCCTTTTTACTTACTTGAAAATGAAATTGCAGCTAAGAATAACTTCAAGCTTTACACAGAAGCTAGTTGAACTAGTCTTCTATGGTGTTCCCCATTAAGTATCAAAACTCAACAACGCCCAAAAACCAGGTCCTCACTTCGATACCAAACTGGCTTGAAAAGTTGTATTGTGTGGCTTTTTTAGCAACACTGAAAATGACTGTAACGTGTGGTTTATTCAGTGTGGTATGGACATCTGTAATACAGAATATAAACTCTCAGACAGCTGTCGTACAACATATCTAGAGCTTTGTCATTTTGTCATAACTGACAAAGGTAGCAGACTCAAACAAATGGGCGTTAATGACACTTCATAGTGTTTTTGCTCTTATTATAGTAACTAGTTTGCTTCTTACAGCAAACACATGGTTTTTGATATCGGTCTTGATGTCAGTTTTAATTTTAGTAAGTAATATAGCAGTGTTGAAAACCTTGAAGACTTATTCCCTGCAGACAAAAACAAAAACATAATCCAAGACCTTTCAAATAGTCATTACATTATCTATCATTTGTATTTTTTAATGTGTAAAAGTTATGTATACTTGTTTTGTTCAAAGCACAACTGTGTTAACTTTCAAGTTGGACAATGTTTACAACAACTGTTTATTATATATATATTTTTGCCAAATCATCTTCAATTAAACATATGGTTTTATTGGAAACAGAAATGTAACTCATGGCTTCAAATACAACTGCTATATATCTGCTCAAATGTTTTATTTTATGTCTGTAACAAGAGCTTGTAGAGCAGGGGGGTCAAACTCAAATACACAGTGGGCCAAAATATAAAAATGGGTACTATCAAAACTCAACAACGCCCAAAAACCAGGTCCTCACTTCGATACCAAACTGGCTTGAAAAGTTGTATTTTTCCTTTGTTTTTAAAAAGAAGCCGAGGTGGTAACTTAATTCAGGGGGCCACCTCGTGCTGAATACAGAATGAACTTCTCTCTAAGTATAGCAGAAAGGGTGGTCCTCACTCCCCATGTTAACCCTCCTGTTATATTCGTTTTTTGTAACAGCAATAATATTCGTGGGTCAATTTGACCCAGTGCATGTTTAATTATCCAAAAATGGCCAAAATCCAGATTTTTTTTTTACATAGTTTGTACCTTTTATTACTATCAATGAAATCAATATTTAGTGCAATTGTGTTATTCACCCCTCACAGATCATGATTCCATTAGACTAAGTCACTCGTTTTCCCCAAAAATATACATTCAAACACATTTTTCTATTTTCTTTTTTACATTGGAAAAGCCTTGATATAAAATACATTAGTTTTGCATAACATAACATGTTTTAAATTAATTTTAAAATGTTCCAACTTGTTTTAAAATTGGTTGATGTTGATAAATAGAGACGAGACACCTCTTCTGTTCAGGGTCAAATTGACCCGTTCACTTAGAATCAAGCCAAATGAGTCATAAGGATTTGTATTGAAAGTATTTTATTGTAACAGCAATTAAGAGTGTGTGTGTGTGTGTGTGTGTGTGTGTGTGTGCGTGTGTGTGTGTGCGTGTGTGTGTGTGTGTGTGTGTGTAGGGTTGTGGTGTCTGTGAACACAAACTTGGAGGATTGAGGGACCCTGTTCTTGATCACCAGCCTTTCATCCACTGTGACATTAGGTCCTGGGTTGTAGAGAAGTGGAAGCCGCTCTACCCACTTGTCCCACACTGTCCTTATAGCTCTCAGCTTGTCTCTCTCACGTCTGCCAGCTCTTGTGTCACGATTATCAAATCGGATCACTCTTGAGAAAATGTGGAAAGTCCCCAGAGACATTGTGGCTCGAAATATATTCCTGCCTGTGTCTGCGTCCCACAGGCTGGCTGTCGATTCATCCTTGGATTTGTAGAACCCAGCCAGGATGAGGAGACCCAAATACGCATGTAAATGCATTTCGTCCAGCTCCTTCCACTCCTCCCCATACACACGTCTCCCTTCCAGATTGGTCATATCCAGAACGATCTTCAGCACTGTGTTCGAAATTACCAGCTCAAAAGCAGACTTGATGTCTGTGACACGAGAGACTGGTGGGCCCTGGCACTGCCTTCATTATGTTTGCTGCCGATAGTGTTGCCTGGCGTCCATTAGGGGATGAGGACCACTGAATTTCACAATGTCTGGACATGAATGTCGCATCTGGGCGAATATCAGTTTTCCTTATTTGATTGATCATAATCTTCATCTTCATCGTTTACCTCAAGGTAGTCTTCATCCTCGTAAACGTTCTCCTCTATCTCGCTGTCGTGATCCTCCTCAAGGATGTATTCCATATAGCCCAGGGCTGTCCTCTCTTCACTTGCGTTGCTCATTTTGTCTGATAGTATTGTGAGTATACTGTACTTTAAGTGCAGAGTATAATGTATCCCAGTGTGGGAGGAGCTTACCCATTACACATTTGAGACTTGAACCCTCTGACCCCCACTTTCACTAACAAGTGCGGTGTGTATTTGTGTGTGTATTTGTGTATATCTGTCTGTCTGCCTCTCTGTCTTTTTGTGTGTGGAAAATTACGATATATATATATATATACTGTATATCGCATTTGAACCCTCTGACCCCTTCTAGCCTCCACTTTCCCGTGTGTGTGTGTGTGTGTGTGTGTGTGTGTGTGTGTGTATTTCTGACCCCTTTTAGCATCCACTTTCACTGGTGTGTGTGTGTGTGTGTGTGTGTATTTCTGACCCCTTTTAGCATCCACTTTCACTGGTGTGTGTGTGTGTGTGTGTATTTCTGACCCCTTTTAGCATCCACTTTCACTGATGTGTGTGTGTGTGTGTGTGTGTGTGTGTGTGTGTGTGTGTGTGTGTGTGTGTGTGTGTGTGTGTGTGTGTGTGTGTGTGTGTGTGTGTGTGTGTGTGTGTGTGTGACCCCTTTTAGCATCCGCTTTCACTGCCGGGTCAGATTGACCCGAATACCATCTCTGTGATTTAGACATGTAGGGGGGGTTCGAAATGCATGACATGAACCATTTTTATTTGACTTGTGTATTACACTAATTAAGGTAAGTAGAAGAAGTTTCATAAAAAAAAAATACTTGAAAGTATTTTTCGTAGATTTTCAAACTTTCAAACGGGTCAATTTGACCCTGAATGTAACAGGAGGGGTTGACCCGGTCCTCACTTCAGGGCTCATGCAGGAATGTGTGTGTGTGTGTGTGGGGGGGGGGGGTTAAAGTCCAGGACCATTTGGGGCAGGGGGGAAAGGTGGGAGGCAGGGTGGAGAGGTCAGGGAGGGGGAGAGAGGGGGAGGGGCGAGAGTTCAGCATCCATTCCTGACCGCCTGGAGGAGGAAGCTGTTCCTCAGCCTGGTGGAGCTCGAGCGGAGGCTGCGGAATAAATAACTACAGTTAGTGTTCGTTGTCTACCCAAATCATTAATTTTGTTCTTTTATTACAAAAAAAACAAGATTTGACTTTATATATAATCATTAATTTCATATAATAAACATGTATAATTTTTTTTAAGTGGAATTTAGTAGTTCTATTCATTGCATTTTTTGAATTTTGCAACTTTTTGTGTCATAAACATGGGCGCAATGTGTCCTTTTAAACTGCTTTTTGAATTTAAAGTATTTCTCTTCCAAACAAAAATAAGTACAAAAGTTACCAAAAATGTAATTATATATGTATTATATGTATTATTACAAATTAGCACATATATTCATACGATATAAACATAGTGTGCTACGGCTGTTACACCGCCACATGTGTCATTACATTGACTGTAGGTACCCGGATGTAAACAATCCGAACACGAGTTTTATGTTGAAAGCTTTGACCGGAAGCCATGTTGTTAAAGTAGTTTACTTGACACCCGTGCGGAGCAGCAGGACCTCCGAGGAAAACCGGAGAGTGAACCGGGCGCTTCATGATTTCTGCTCCCTTTTCTCTCAGGTTAAGATTTTGACATTTGTTTTCGTTTTGGCTCGTCTGGGCTCCTCTTCTGGACCGAGTGGACTACTGGAAGAAAAGACACAAACATGGAGATAGAGAAGGAAGTGAAGAAGGTAAGATTCCCCCCGGTGTTCTCCGTATCTCTCTCTGACCGGGGAACGCCCTGAAAAGGTGTGCCGAACCCGGGCAGGTGGCGAGAAAAGTGACAGTATCACAGAGAGACTTTCTACGTTAGTTTTCCTCTTTCATTTAGAACTTTTTCCACAGACAAGCCTTTGCATTTTCCCCTGATTAAACTCACATTTAAATACTCCAAACAACACGAATCCACTCCATCTTTATAAGATACACAATAGCTGGTTGACTGGTTAGCAAAACTTAAGTTCTTTCTTAGCAAACCTACTTCCCTTTTTAGGGGAAGTACTTTTCCCACTTGAACAAACTTCACACCAAACTGCATTGGAAATGTGGACTACTGTGTGTCACAATGCGTTTTAACAAATCTCATACGCTTTTAGACATTTTAAATCTTATTCATCAAAACAGTTGAAGCTATGGCACACTTCGGCATGGATGTTGTACACGAAAATCTTGCATTTTATACAAAAGTGAAGTGTTTTGGTATCAGTGCGCATTGCTCAAGACCGGTGTTGCAGTATAACTTGAGTCATGACAACTGGCGACATTCTATTATTTTCGTCATAGGAATCCGGGGCGTGTGCAAAGGACCCATTGTGGACTTACCATGTCGATCGCCTCGTTTGTCCTTTACGTTCATATTTTGCTATATCTGCCTTCCTAAGATCACTTTGATGCACATTCAGTACTCGTATGTGAGGTTGTGGGTGAGAGGTGGATATCGTGACGCTTATAGGGAGGTATCGAACATTACAAAGTAGGTGACTGTGTGGATGCCAGTTCAAAATATTGCAAACTTGAATAAATCATTTAAATTATATATTTGTGTCCGACTTTCACTTATACATCGTTCTTAATGTGATGTATAGTAGCTTTGATAGCTGTCCATACCTTCAGACAGCCTAAAAGTAAAACACAAGTCGTGTATTCACAGCCCGACCGCTCATCGAGATGACTGGATCACTCATGACAGGTTGTAATAATAATAATAATGCATTATATTTTTTATTAGAGCGCTTTTACAGGTGCTCAAAGCGCTTTACAAGTACACATTACACATATTAGACATGTAAGAGTCATTACTGCGGACATTACCCACAGGAGCAAATGCGGGTAAAGTGTCTTGCCCAAGGACACAACGGCCTGACGCTGAGGTTGTGATCAGCTCCGATTAAATTGTGATATCAATGCTGTAGCTATTCTCCAGGAGCACGTTTTTTTACGTTTTTTCTCGTATCCCTCTCATCACAACAAGACTCTACACTGTGCAGGACAAAACAATTACATACATGAAAATAACCTTGATGCATGGGAATGAAACACACAAACTATCTTCCGTGGCTACACTGATGTCACAGTCTCGGTAAACCACAGAAAATCCATGGTCATAACAGACAAAGCAGACTTAATCAGAAGTATGCAAACAATCCAAAGCATGCAACATGCCCAAGATCAAATATCTGATCTTAAATGCATGAACATCCAAACTCTGTAGCATGTTGCAAATATAGTAAGTTAAAACCAACACTTTCACATTTCCACATTGCAGACTAGATAACCTGTACTCCTACCATGCATGAACAAATCCCATTAAATATTCGTCTAATTGTATATTAATTTGCTTAAAAGCTCAGGTTTATGAATAGAAATACATGTATTCAAATCTTATAAGCATTACTGAGAGTGTGTGTGTGTTGTGTGTGTGTGTGTGTGTTGTGTGTGTGTGTGTGTGTGTGTGTGTGTGTGTGTGTGTTGTGTGTGTGTGTGTGTGTGTGTTGTGTGTGTGTGTGTGTGTGTGTGTGTGTGTGTGTGTGTGTGTGGTGTGTGTGTGTGTGTGGGTGTGTGTGTGTGTGTGTGTGTGTGTGTGTGTGTGGTGTGTGTGTGTGTGTGTGTGTGTGTGTGTGTGTGTGTGTGTGTGTGTGTGTGTGTGTGGTGTGTGTGTGTGTGTGTGTGTGTGTGTGTGTGTGTGGTGTGTGTGTGTGTGTGTGTGTGTGTGTGTGTGTGTGTGTGTTACGTCTAGAGCCAAACTGTCAATTAAAAGTGGGTGAAGCACACAGTGAGGCCTACTCTGCATGTGTGGCATGACACTAATATATAGTTTGCCACTCACAATGTGTGTCATTTAAGGCTTTAACCGGCCATTGTGACTTATTTGATATTTTTTAGGCGGTCATTTATTGTCAGGGGCAGGAGCACTAAACAACAAAGTGAAGGAACTCTCAAATAAAGCCAAAATATATTCATATTCCTTGTTATATTTCTTACTTTAGGATAAACCCTTAACACGATGCATTACTAAAGGTTTACTATAGGTTCCTCCCACACACTCCCCCTTTGCCCAAAAGCATCCATTTGATTCCTTTTTTTTCTTCTGTAACATAATGACATCACTTTGCAATGCTCCTATTGGCTAGCGCTCCAACACATTGTACATGATAGGCTAAGGGGCGGGACATTTCTAAGCGGTTGGCCAATCACAACAGAGCCAAGCCAGCTAACCAATCAGAGCAGACTGGGCTCTGGTTTCAGACAGAGGGTGAAAAGAGGTGCTGCAGCACAGGCAGTATGAGAACAATAAAGAGCTTTTTGAACATTAAAGCATGGAGACATGTCACAGTAGAGACACTACATACTGATATACACCTGAACATCAGCAGGAGAGGACTCTTTAAAGTAGAGACACTACATACTGATATACACCTGAACATCAGCAGGAGAGGACTCTTTAAAGTAGAGACACTACATACTGATATACACCTGAACATCAGCAGGAGAGGACTCTTTAAAGTAGAGACACTACATACTGATATACACCTGGACATCAGCAGGAGAGGACTCTTTAAAGTAGAGACACTACATACTGATATACACCTGAACATCAGCAGGAGAGGACTCTTTAAAGTAGAGACACTACATACTGATATACACCTGAACATCAGCAGGAGAGGACTCTTTAAAGTAGAGACACTACATACTGATATACACCTGAACATCAGCAGGAGAGGACTCTTTAAAGTAGAGACACTACATACTGATATACACCTGAACATCAGCAGGAGAGGACTCTTTAAAGTAGAGACACTACATACTGATATACACCTGAACATCAGCAGGAGAGGACTCTTTAAAGTAGAGACACTACATACTGATATACACCTGAACATCAGCAGGAGAGGACTCTTTAAAGTAGAGACACTACATACTGATATACACCTGAACATCAGCAGGAGAGGACTCTTTAAAGTAGAGACACTACATAATGATATACACCTGAACATCAGCAGGAGAGGACTCTTTAAAGTAGAGACACTACATACTGATATACACCTGAACATCAGCAGGAGAGGACTCTTTAAAGTAGAGACACTACATACTGATATACACCTGAACATCAGCAGGAGAGGACTCTTTAAAGTAGAGACACTACATAATGATATACACCTGAACATCAGCAGGAGAGGACTCTTTAAAGTAGAGACACTACATACTGATATACACCTGCACATCAGCAGGAGAGGACTCTTTAAAGTAGAGACACTACATACTGATATACACCTGAACATCAGCAGGAGAGGACTCTTTAAAGTAGAGACACTACATACTGATATACACCTGGACATCAGCAGGAGAGGACTCTTTAAAGTAGAGACATTACATACTGATATACACCTGAACATCAGCAGGAGAGGACTCTTTAAAGTAGATACACTACATACTGATATACACCTGAACATCAGCAGGAGACGACTCTTTAAAGTAGAGACACTACATACTGATATGCACCTGAACATGAGCAGGAGAGGACTCTTTAAAGTAGAGACACTACATACTGATATACACCTGGACATCAGCAGGAGAGGACTCTTTAAAGTAGAGACACTACATACTGATATACACCTGAACATCAGCAGGAGAGGACTCTTTAAAGTAGAGCCACTACATAATGATATACACCTGAACATCAGCAGGAGAGGACTCTTTAAAGTAGAGACACTACATACTGATATACACCTGCACATCAGCAGGAGAGGACTCTTTAAAGTAGAGACACTACATACTGATATACACCTGCACATCAGCAGGAGAGGACTCTTTAAAGTAGAGACACTACATACTGATATACACCTGGACATCAGCAGGAGAGGACTCTTTAAAGTAGAGACACTACATACTGATATACACCTGGACATCAGCAGGAGAGGACTCTTTAAAGTAGAGACACTACATACTGATATACACCTGGACATCAGCAGGAGAGGACTCTTTAAAGTAGAGACATTACATACTGATATACACCTGAACATCAGCAGGAGAGGACTCTTTAAAGTAGATACACTACATACTGATATACACCTGAACATCAGCAGGAGACGACTCTTTAAAGTAGAGACACTACATACTGATATGCACCTGAACATGAGCAGGAGAGGACTCTTTAAAGTAGAGACACTACATACTGATATACACCTGGACATCAGCAGGAGAGGACTCTTTAAAGTAGAGACTACATACTGATATACACCTGAACATCAGCAGGAGTGGACTCTTTAAAGTAGAGACACTACATACTGATATACACCTGACCATCAGCAGGAGAGGACTCTTTAAAGTAGAGACACTACATACTGATATACACCTGAACATCAGCAGGAGAGGACTCTTAAAGTAGAGACACTACATACTGATATACACCTGGACATCAGCAGGAGAGGACTCTTTAAAGTAGAGACACTACATACTGATATACACCTGAACATCAGCAGGAGAGGACTCTTTAAAGTAGAGACACTACATACTGATATACACCTGAACATCAGCAGGAGAGGACTCTTTAAAGTAGAGACACTACATAATGATATACACCTGAACATCAGCAGGAGAGGACTCTTTAAAGTAGAGACAATACATACTGATATACACCTGAACATCAGCAGGAGAGGACTCTTTAAAGTAGAGACTACATACTGATATACAC